GGGCAGTTACTAATGAAAAGTGATAGATAGAGGTCATTACGTGCGACCCCGGCTTGATGACACTGCAGCGGGTGTTCTCTGGAATCTACATGTAAAAATAAAGACAGGATGTGACGTTTCCTCACATGTTGTTCCAGAAGATACTAGCAGTGTTTGTGCAACTTTGGAGGAGCGATTAGGGACAGAGAGTTAATGTGAAAGTCAGTAGCGAGTGAGCCGTTACAGTCGATACAGTCGATGTAAAAGACGTGTGCGGCTCTGATTCGGTAGACTTGAGTACGACTTGGTTCAACTTTGGGAGACCTGGAGCGACACTGGGAAGTGTGTCGTTGGTCTGTTCTGTGGAATACGGCTCAATGCAAGTTGAGAAGAGATGAATTGCAACGAAGTATAGCTAACTGTAAACTGACAGATATTGTACAGTCTTCTACGCTACATGTTACAGTGACGAATTGTTAGAGTTAATAGTCAATAAAGTTATATGAAGCTGAAAGTTGAGTCGTCAAGTTTTTTTTTACAGTGTTTTTATTTGTGTGTCTACTAATACATTTAGCCAGAAGATTCAGAAATACGTAACAATATAAAGTAGAAAATACATGTATGTATGTCTCGCATGGAAATCAAAACCGTTTGACCAATCTTTATAAAACATGGTATACATATCTCTTAGATCATGGCATAGACCGTAGGGTATGTTCAATGTCCCTCCCACAACCGGGGGGGGGGGGGGGCAAAGATAAAATAAAATACCTAAATTTATCTATATTAAAGAGCGAAACTCTTTAACTGATCGGATAAATCCGTTTCAAAGTATTTTATATTAGATAAGAATAGGTCGCATGAACTGGTAAAGCCATTTTCAAACTCTACTTTTATTTTCGTGGCGTAATGAACAATAAAATGTGAAAAGGAACATTCAACATGTTTGACATAGATCTAATCCAATCAATAGATCTATAATACCCAAACTAAGGCCCGCAGGCCGCGGGTCACATCCGGCTAGTATGAACATAAGAACATACTGAACTCTATCGTTGCGCACCTCTACCCAAGGTAGTTAGTTTCCTCTCCAGCGCAGAACTTTTGCAAACTGACAGGATTGGAGACGTTGGAGTCAGCGAGAACAAAGTCGTCTGTAGCAGATGACTTCAGGAAGCCGGTGGCTGAAACTGTCACGTTAAGCGACTTTTTGAAACGGGTGGTAGAAGAAATCTATCACGTCTGCACTTTACATACGAGCGAAAATAAATGAATCCGTGTAAGTTCTGTCTGTAGCGAAAGTCTTCAGTGTCTGTCTTTCACACTTTTTCTGATACTTTGACGTGACGACGTTTTAGTCATGAAACTTCAAGTGAATCTTTCACTAGAAAACAAGCAAAAAAAAAAACTGATTTAAAATATAAAAAAAAAAAGCTTATAGTAAGTGTACGTGTGATAATTAGTTTGGATCAGTTAAGTAAAACAATTTGTAATAGATCTATCAGACATACAATAATAAATCTGCGATTTAGAAATATTTTTACCAATTGTTTTGGTTTAGCGCGATTTCATGGTTTTAGAGTTTTGGGACCAATGTCTTGATCTTGCTTCTTGATGGTCGGTCTTCTCTGGTGGCGCTCCAATAGTCTCTATGTTTCATTCTGTTGTGTCTGGTTCCTATGTGAAAACAAATTTTAGGCTTTGGTCGTTTCCAGACAGCTTGTCATTGAAGAGGCGCGGTGGCTGAGCGGTAAAGCGCTTGGGTTCCTGTGTCCGGGGCTCGAATTCTGGTGAAGACAGGGATTTTAAATCTCGGGATCTTCGGGCGCCTCTGAGCCCACCCAGCTTTAAGGGGTACCTGACATTAGTTTGGGGAAAAGTAAAGGCGGTTGGTCGTTGTGCTGGCCACATGACACCCTCGTTAACCGTAGGCCACAGTAATATTTTATCTTTACATCAGCTGCCCTAGAGACCATACGGTTTGAAAGGAAAAACTCTTTTGTGATTGAAGAAACTTAGAAATTCAGTTTTGTTATCAAGAAACGTAAAAAAAAATGGTGGTATGAATCTAGTCACATCCCAAAAAAAATTTAAAATATAAAATGTTATCAGTATTTCAATATTACTTTCAATTTACTCAGACTTACTTGGTGTTGCAACCATGGCGCTATCGGGTTACTCGCGCTCGAACCCTTGACAAAAAGGTCGGGGCCATTGAAAGAAAGCTTTTAAGTAAACGTAAATGAGTTGAGTTTGATCGTGATACTGTTACTTGTAAAGTGTGGCTCATACACTGACATTAGTTGGGGAAAAGTAAAGGCGGGCTTTTTGTAAATTTACTAATACATACTGAACGAGTCGATGTTTTTTGTCACACGCAGTCTTCTGTTTGGCAAAGAAAAAAAGTAGTGGTTTGGGGGGAGGGGGTACCTTCTTATTCTTGAAACCGGGACCACGAGTACCTTTGGTAACCATGTGTCTCTAAATAACTAATGATTATTAGATTTTTTCTTCTTCTTCTAGCCAGCTTTATTGCTGCTGAGCTGTGAGCTCTTTTGCAGACTGTGCCAAGGAAAAATAGTGTGCTGTTTTCTTCAGCACTGCCGTACAGGGTGTTGGTTATGTTGGGCTGGAGTGGAAGTAGGGTCTCCTAAGATGGATTAGGAAGGGGCATTCAAAGAGGATATGGTTTAGGGTTATCTTATATAATACGGTTTCATAAGGGTGGGCGCAGTGTCTGCAAAGGGGGAGTTGTGTGGAGTTTATTTTGTTCAGATGGTAATTTAATAGTGGTGTGTGTCCTGTTCTTAGTTGGAAAATTGTAGATTGTTTTTTGCGGGGGAGGAAGTTAATACTGTCCAGTTTGTTAGGTGTAGTCATTTCTTTGTACATGGCTCTGCCTGTGTTTCCTGATGCCCATTGGTTGAGCCACTCCTCTTTGTGATTGTTGACTAACATTGACCTTAGGGTGAGGTAGTTAACAGGTCTATCTGGTTGTTCCATAGATGAACCTGCCTTTGATAGCTTATCTGCCTTTTCATTTCCCATGATGCCGATGTGTCCAGGGATTCACTGTAGTGTGATATTGATATTTAATTTTGATATCATCTGATGGATTATCACAATCAGTGTTGTCAACTCTCTTGGGCTCTTTGAGGTGCAGAGTAAATTGGGAGTCTGTAAAGACAACAATATCTGATGGTGTATGTACTTCTTCATATAATTTGTTTCCCACTGTCTGTAGTGCTATGGTAATTGCCTCAATTTCGGCTTGAAAGTTTGAGCAGTAATCGCCACAGGGTGCACTTATTTCAAAGTGTTTATTTATCTTATCTTATATAATACAGACGTTACTTCAAAAAAGAAGATGATTACGTCCTACGCGTCATGCATTTAGTCATGCATATTAACCAATGACTTAAATTCTGCCAAGTCACTGGTTTTCCTGGCTAGCTCAGGCAACCCATTCCATGCTCTAATAGCACTAGGGAAGAAGAAGTATTTGTACACATTTGTCCTAGCATATAGGACGTGGAATGTGCCTTTATCTTTGTCTTTCAGTGTATTTTATTAAATTTTGTTTTTGTATTTGAAGATTATGGTTCAGTGTTTTATGTATAGTTGCTACTTTACTTTTGAGTCTTCTGTCCTGAAGGCTTTCTAAATTTAGTGATTTTACTAAAGGTTTTAAGTGTGAATATTCATTTGTTATGAATCTCACTGCTCTATTTTGTGTCTGTTGCAGTTTCTTAATGTTATCTTGGGTTGAGGGGTCCCAAACGGAGGATGCATATTCTATTATTAGCCTAACCAAGGTTAGGGTTTCTTTTAATAAATCCTAATGCCTTGTTTGATTTTTTTATGGTTTTATCAATATGTGGATTCCATGACAGTTTTTCATTTATTATAACACCTCGGTATTTTGCGTTTTTAGTCTGTGTTACTGATTTGCCATGAATAAGATAAGTGGAATTAATTTGTTTTAGTTTTTTTTGTTACTCTTAACAACTGACATTTTTCTGGGTGGAAAGACATGCTCCAATTTGATTCCCATTTCTGTAATTCATCTAATTCTCTTTGTAAAATATCTGTGTCTTGTGTTGTTTTTATTGTTCTATATATTATGCAATCGTCTGCAAATAATCTGACTTAAGTTCCTGAGGTAATGCAATTTGGTAAATCATTTATGTAAATTAAGAATAGTAGTGGACCCAAGACTGTTCCTTGAGGTACACCTGAGTTTACTGTTATCGGTGTTGATTTAGAGCCATTCATTATTACACTTTGTTCTCTCCCTATCAGAAAATCTTTAATCCACTGATGCAGTGGACCATTAACGCCGAAATATTTTAATTTTTTAAGATAACTATGGTGGTGAACTTTGTCAAAAGCCTTAGAAAAATCTAGTAAGATAGCATCTATTTGTTCACTATTATCTAAACCTTTTGAAAAGTCATCAATCAGTCCTATTAGTTGTGTTTCACATGATCTATATTTCCTAAAGCCATGTTGGTATGGGGTGAGGACATTATGTTTGTCTAAGTGGTTTATGATGTTGCTACATATTATGTGTTCTAGGATTTTACATGTGATGCTGGTAAGTGATACTGGTCTGTAGTTTCTTGGGTCAAATTTTTCTCCTTTTTTAAATAGGGGGGGTGACATTAGCTTCTTTCCGGTCCTTTGGTACTCTGCCCTGGTTAAGCGATGCCTGAAAGAGTATTTTGAACTTTGGGGCTAGCTCATTGCTTAGTTCTTTGAGTAATCTAGCTGGAATACCATCAGGTCCAGAAGCTTTATTTGGTTTGGTGTTGGCTAATAGTTTTTGAATTCCATTTTCTTATACTAATATATTTTTGGAACCTTTTGTGCATCTCACTCACAGTAGCTGCTAAACACAGGTCAATACAAACAAATAGCTTCCTTGTGACATAAAATAAATTATCCTTATACATAAGTATTTATCAGAGGTGCTACTAGGGTCGGTGCCAAATCTTGTAAAACTGCAATATATAAGATAAGAAGATAAGATAAATCTACGAAATAAAGAAACAAAATAGTCGAAGTTCTGATGGTCCAGGAACAGCTCACCCTTTACCACATCTACGACCGAGGGCTGTCTCGTGGAGAAGTGTAAACAGGAAGTTTCGTCTACTTTCTACACAGAAATGCAAATGATCGAGAAAGGGAGATAAATGATTCACGGTAACTGAGAATTAGAATACTTTCAATTTTTAACTGAGTTTTGGCAACTATAAATAGTAAAAAGTTTATATGTAATGAAGTTCATAATGTCAGAGTTTACCTACTATATGGCCGCTATGACTTGATTATTGAAATTGAATTATAAAGTATATTAATGATTTATATATAGTGCTTAATCTTTGCATACTATTTTCTCTAAAGTTCCTCTTTCAGCCCATGCACTCTAAAGGGCAGATAATGTTTAAGTGGCCCACGGCTAACGAGGACGTCATGAGGCCAACACAACGACCAACCGCCTTTACTTTTCACCAACTAATGTCAGTGACACAGAGGTGTCCTAAAAGATCCCGAAGTGCTTAACCACTCATCCACCACGTCTTCTTTCTTCTTGAAGGATTAAAACAATTTGTCTGGTAAAGAAGAGTTAATGTTATTTCTACACATCCGGCACGCCATTGGACATTGCATGATCAGGTCAGACTTCTAGCAATACAAAGACGTATTCATCACCCTATTCCAGCGGTTCTCAACCTTTTAAGCTTGGCGACCCCTTTTTACAATCCCCCACTCTGCCACGACCCCCCCCCCCCTTTACACAAATACAGAATTGTATGGTTGACAATAACAATCCATATTTTTGATGGTCTTAGGCGACCCCTGGCAAATGGTCAATCGACCCCCTAAGGAGTCGCGACCCACAGGTTGAGAACCCCTGCGGGCCTGTTCCATTGTAACAACGCCCCTTACCATCTTAACAAAATAAACTCCACCCGACATCCCTTTGTAGACACTGCGCCCACCCTTATGAAACCGTAAACCATATCCTCTTTGAATGCCCCTTCCTAATCCACCTTAGGCAGACCCTACTACCACTACAGCCTAACACAACCAACGGCAGTGCTGAACAACTGAAGAGAACAGCACACTATTTTTCCTTGGCACAGTCTGCAAAAGAGCTCAAAGCTCAGCAGCAATAAAGCTGGCTAGATGAAGAAGAAGAAGATGAAGTAACAACGCCCATGATAAAGGTGATGATAAGACGCCCATGATAAAAGTGGTTTACATCTAAAAGAAATGTCTTTAAAAACCAACTATTACAATAAAAAATAAAATTGAGCAAGAACGCCTTAGAGCAGGGAATCTGAGCTTCTTCTACCATAGGCATCAACGTGCCTTTCTTCCTTTTTATTGTTTTTTTTTGTTTGTTTGTTTTAAGTTCAGCAATGAAATACAAAATCGTTAGCCCCATTCGAGTACTAAATCCGTTTCTGTGTTTATATCTAAGCCTAGTTTTATGTTTTGTTTACATGCAGCAAGAATGTAACGGGAAACAGCGCCGGGAGAAGGTCAAGGCCTGTCGTGGAAGCAGCAGACTGTTGAAACCAGATATTCGCGTTGTTTACGGGGACCGCAAAAGTCAGACAAAACCCAAGACATGGATCAGAGGGTGATGTTGCTACAGTGAGAAGGTCATCCTGCTTTAATTAGATCCAAAAGTCGCTTCAATCAAAGTGTAAATGTTGCAGCCATGCGCAAACGAATGAAGCGAGTTCTAACCTGTCTGATTGGGTGCTTCCACTCACGCATTTCACTTCTTGAAGAGCTGGGAATTCCACACACAGCCTTTTTTTTATTTTTTTATTTTGAAATAGCAAAATGTACGCTCTTCTTTTTAAATGACTCTTTAAGGAAACAAGATAAACATTAAAAATATTTTTTTTTTAAAAGACAATACCTCCATTATACAAACTTCAAGTATAATAAAATAAAATCAAATTTTAAAAAATAAATATTTGGTTCAAACCCGTTATTTTGAGTCAAAATTTGACGTCTTCAGTTGCGTGAAGGTATTTTTTTTTAACCAATTCAGCCTGCGGGAATTTAAACTTGTGTGACTATTTATTGTTATTATCATTATGTGGACATCTAGGTCTAATACTAGATCTGGACTTCTGATTTAGAACTCTTTAAGACCCAGTCTAGATCCAGATCTCTTTCTCGGTCTAGAAGTAATCTATATTAGATTTACTTTTAAAATATTAGTAAAGCTTAGTTATTCTTTCAATCAGGGCCGGTCTCAGCAATTGCGGAGCCCTATGCGAAACGGCTTGCGCGGGGCCTATTCTGGGTAGGGATAAGGATAATAAGTGAAAATTAAGATTTTGTATTAAAAAATAAATTCGTCTTTGCATTTTATACATTCTTAGCTAAGTACAAAATCACGATCAAATTAACTTGACGAGCCTTGTGTGTAGCGAAGTCCTACAGTAGATCAGCGAAATTCTGTTTCCTACATAGATCACGCTCAATAGCAAGAATTGCCACATTGTTCAATCTCTCTTCGTGAATTGTTGACCTTAAGTAATTCTTGATTAGTTTAAGACGCGAGAAACTTCTTTCGCAAGATGCCACAGTTACAGTTCAAATCTCGGCTGCAAGGATGGAATAGCAGTGTCCATAATTCTGTTGAAATATTTTATCCTGTAGTCATCTTCAGCTTTTCGATGTGTGAAGTTTTCCACAGATTTATCATACTGCCTTTTCCTTTGACTTTTGGCTGGAAAGATTGCAACAACATCCATGTTTCCAGCCAACTTCTTTTCGCTGTCACAAGAAGAAACAACAGGAAGAAACTTCAAACGTTCATACACAACCACGAGCTGTTTCACATTAACACTTTCTGAGAGATACCGATAACATCTGCTCGTTGTGACTGGTCATGGCGTCTAAATGCCTTTGCGATTTTTCATGCTCTGCTAGCCATGTGGTACAGCTTTGCTACTGGTCAAATCCGTCATTTAAAACGGAACTTTTTTTGTTATTCCAGTAGACAACAGTAGAAACAATAGATCTTGTCTGCTGACACAGAATATATCAGCCAAGGACGCAAAACACTTTCACCATCACTCAGGTTCGGTTTGCAATGCAATTAAGAGAAATGTCTACCATCCTTATTTTTCGGAAAATTCTCCAAAGTAATCTCAGGTGGACCTTTTTGTAATAAATAGTCAACACAAGATCTTATTTTTTCTAGACACATCCAGATTTTTCAATGAATCGACCACATTTAGCTCATTATCTATAATTACATGTTGATCAGTTATTACATTATTGCCTTCATTTCTCACGACATGTTAATCAGTTGTTACATTATTGCCTTCATTTCTTACGACATGTTGATCAGTTGTTACATTATTGCCTTCATTTCTTACGACATGTTGATCAGTTGTTACATTATTGCCTTCATTTCTTACGACATGTTGATCAGTTGTTACATCATGTTCTTCTTCTCTTACGATATGTTGATCAGTTGTTAGTGTTACCTCATGTTCTTCTTCTCTTACGACATGTTGATCACTTGTTAGTGTTACCTCATGTTCTTCTTCTCTTACGACATGTTGATCTCTTGTTAGTGTTACATCATGTTCTTCTTCTCTTACGACATGTTGATCAGTTGTTAGTGCTACATCATGTTCTTCATCTCTTACGACATGTTGATCAGTTGTTACATCATGTTCTTCTTCTCTTACGACATGTTGATCAGTTGTTAGTGTTACCTCATGTTCTTCTTCTCTTACGACATGTTGATCACTTGTTAGTGTTACCTCATGTTCTTCTTCTCTTACGACATGTTGATCTCTTGTTAGTGTTACATCATGTTCTTCTTCTCTTACGACATGTTGATCAGTTGTTAGTGCTACATCATGTTCTTCATCTCTTACGACATGTTGATCAGTTGTTACATCATGTTCTTCTTCTCTTACGACATGTTGATCAGTTGTTAGTGTTACCTCATGTTCTTCTTCTCTTACGACATGTTGATCACTTGTTAGTGTTACCTCATGTTCTTCTTCTCTTACAACATGTTGATCACTTGTTAGTGTTACATCATGTTCTTCTTCTCTTACGACATGTTGATCAGTTGTTAGTGCTACATCATGTTCTTCATCTCTTACGACATGTTGATCAGTTGTTACATCATGTTCTTCTTCTCTTACGACATGTTGATCAGTTGTTACATCATGTTCTTCATCTCTTACGACACGTTGATCAGTTGTTAGTGTTACATCATTGTCTTCTTCTCTTACGACATGTTGATCAGTTCTTAGTGTTACATCATTGTCTTCTTCTCTTACGACATTCACCACTGCAGTTTTTGCTTTCTTCGTAGAATCTGTTTCAGCTGTCTCACTAGAAGTGATTAGGTTCGCATTTTCGGGTTTTGATCGTTTTAAAAACGTATTCTAGTTCTATTGGAACTTTCGTTTCGGTTTAAATTCGCACTATTATTATATTTTAATAAATATGAAAGCTGACAATGCTTTTTCTTTAATTCGCGTAAGATTTGTGTTTTCCAATTTTGTCTAATTTTCAGGAGATTTCAAAAATAATTTCCACGACTTTTTCGTATATTTTGCATCATTATGCAACTACAGATATACTTAGCGCGGGCCTATGAAAGCCAAATTTACATTTATTTATTTTTTACTTTAAAAAAATGCTAACGGTCAAACTAGCGTTTTCCCCGTGGGGCCAACGAGCTGGTCAGTCTTTTCTCACGGACACACAGCAACTGTTACATTTCTAGGAAAATCTTTAGAGCCTTTTTTTTTTTTTAGATCACCCGGGTTGGTCTAGGAAGACGTGACTTGAATAGAGGTATTGTAAAAAAAAAAAAGCCGTTGTTGGTTTCTTTGTACGTCTGGGCAGTGGCGTAGCACCCATGGCGAGAAGGGGTTCAATGAACCCGGGCCCACGATCATTTGGGGCCCACAGCCTGTGGCGTAACAACCATGGCACGAAAGGGTTCATTGCGCTTGAACTCATGACCAGTTGGGGCCACATGAGCACTTGGGATGATACCAAAGTAAAAATAAAATTGTACTTTTGTTAAGACCGATGTCATAAAAAAAAGGTTTGTTTCTTTTAAGCAGTTGTACAAACATAGACTTTAAGATTTGTAGAGTCATAACGGAATCGAGCCTAATGACATTATTACTTACAAAACAAAAAAAAAAAGGTACGATCCTTGTTTTGGCATTGG